TGTGTGTGTGTGGCCAGCTCAGCCCACCAGGGGGCGGGGCTGGCTGGCATGTGGTGCTGGGGGATTGAACCGTGGTCCTTGTGCTTTGTTAAGCTTGTTCTAAGTAGGTGCTTTAGACCACTGAGCCATCTCACCAGCCCAGATGATTTTTAAAAATTAAAAAAATAAATATAATCAACCAACTGGATGTAGTTGGTAGTTATAGATTACTTCAACAATAGAACACACATTCCTTCCAAGTATTCATTAAATTTTCACTAAGATGCACCATATCCTCAGTCATAAGCCAAGCCTTAATAAGTTTAAAAAAGTATGCCTACTTGCCTCTTAGAATTCAGGCCAGAGTGGGAGCAGATAGTCCTAGGAGTGGAATGCTTATGTGGTAAGAAAGTCAAAGTTGAGATCAAGGTAATGAACTCAGAACCAACAGTATCTGGGCCAGGGATATAACTCAGTGGCACAAGTGCCTGTCTGGAAAGCACATAGTCCTGAGTTCAGTTTCCAGTACCCACAAAAACAAAAGCAAATCAAAATAAAACACTAAGGAACAACCTAGAGCAATGGGACTAATCAGGCACGCATTAAGAGGAAGGTGCACTCAATATATGTGTGTTAGGGGCTGGGGAGATGGCTCAGTAGAAAAAGTGCTTACCTGGCAAGTGCAAGGGCCTGAGTTCAATCCCTGGTTCTACAACAAACAAACAAAAAACAAAAGCAAACAAACAAAAATATATATATATGTGTATGTGTGTGTGTGTGTGTGTGTGTGTGTTGCCAAAATTCATATGTAATACCTAATCACCAAGGAGATGATGATAAGAGGTAGGGACTTTGGGAAGTATGTCGTCAGGATGGAGCCCTCATGAATGGCATCAGTGAGGAAAAGACCTAGAAAGTGAGCTAGTCTTTCTTCTATCATGCAAGGATACAGTGAAAGGTACCATTCATGAGCTAGGAAGCAACCCCTTCCCAGACACAGTATCAACTATTGTCTTGATCTTAGCCACCAGAACTGTGAGAAATAAATTTCTTTCTTTTTTTTTTTTTTTCAGAACCAGGGATTGAACTCAGACCCTTGCACTTGCCAAGGAAGCGCTTATTCTACTGAGCCATCTCCCGGGCCCCTGAGCCATGTCCCCAACCCCAATAAATTTCTGTTGTCTGCAAAAGAATTTAAAGTACTGGGGAGATGGCTCAGTAGAATAAGCACTTGCCTGGCAAGTGCAAGGGCCTGAGTTCAATCCCCAGTTCTAAATTAAAAAAAAAAAAAAGGGGGCTGGCGAGATGGCTCAGTGGTCTAAAGCACCTACTTAGAACAAGCTAAACTAAGCTAAGCTAAGCACAGGGACCACGGTTCAATCCCCCAGCAC